TTCCACAAGAGTCTACACAAAAGAATGAAAACCCAAAGATAAGACCAGAGTAGGAAGCTTCTGTACATTTTAGACAAGAAACAACAATAAACTTGCAGAGAATTGGCCAGTCGGAAGGGTTTGGACTAGGAGTCCTAATGGTGAAAAAGTACCTCGGAAGGTAAGATTTAGCGTAACAAGGTTTACACAGATTTCTTGGCCCCAAATTTCCAGTCTGATGGTGGGAATGCCGTCCTTCCTCCTGGGGTAGGGAGGGTACTTGTCACAGGGGAGTTTTATGACCTGTTTCAAGGAAGAAGGGTGGAAATGTGGGGGAGGTCAGAGAGAGTGAACTTCCTGCTTCTGTTGTTTCCTCAGACTCCTCCAGCTGAAGATATTAATGGGCCAAGATGCCATATACTGGAGCAACATGGCTTGAGCCCCATGAACTTCTTGGCTGCTATCGCTGCCTCTGTGGAGTCTCATTTTCTGCCAACGTTCTGTGGGTCATTATCTTTGGAAAACAAACCTTGGCCAAACAGGAGCACTTGCAATAATAGATAATGTTTTGATTATATTGTTCACTTTTCAAATCATTTCTATATTCATTCTATCCTTTAATTTTTGAGCTAGCCCTAGGTGCTATAACCATCTGCATCATCTACACTTTATAGAAAATTAAACTGTGACTCAGAGAGAGTCTTATCCCACTTTATTTTGAGACTACTTTAATTGTGCAATTGTATCCTCTCATTAGAGTGTAATCTATATATGTATACATATATATGTATTATGCTATGGTTGCAACTTCTGCAAATGAGAAAATTCTCCACTTATCCTTTCAGCAAACTGCTTAAGGCTACATTTGGTAAATCAGGAACTCAGTCTTTCAAAAACATCCTTCTTCCTTTTTCAAAGATGGCTTTGATGAGTAGGTAATATTTTTTACAAAGTATAAAAGAAATCTACAGCAAAAATAGCTATTTATTTCATCCTATGAGGAGGCAAAACTCTATTATAATCAATATGAGAAACATAATTTAAAAGAGCTTTCATCCTATGTGAAGCTGCCAATGAGATCACTAATATCAAATAGGAAAACAAAACATAATTGTTCTTTCTTACTTTCTTTCATTTTTAAAATATTTTTTTTCTGATTTTCCATAATTATCATGTATCAATGTTCAGTTCAGTTCAGTTCAGTCGCTCAGTCATGTTTGTCTCTGTGACCCCATGGACCGCAGCACACCAGGGCTCCCTGTCCATCACCAACTCCCGGAGTCCACCCAAACTCATGTCCATCGAGTCGGTGATGCCATCCAGCCATCTCATCCTCTGTCATCCCCTTCTCCTCCTGCCCTCAATATTTCCCAGTATCAGGGTCTTTTCCAGTGAGTCAGCTCTTCGCATCAGGTGGCCAAAGTATTGGAGTTTCAGCTTCAGCATCAGTCCTTTCAATGAACACCCAGGGCTGATCTCCTTTAGGATGGACTTGTTGGATCTCCTTGCAGTCCAAGGGACTCTCAAGAGTCTTCTCCAACACCACAGTTCAAAAGCATCAGTTCTTCGATGCTCAGCTTTCTTCACAGTCCAACTCTCACATCCATACAGGACCACTGGAAAAACCATAGCCTTGACTAAACGGACCTTTGTTGGCAAAGCAATGTCTCTGCTTTTTAATATGCTGTCTAGGTTGGTCATAACTTTCCTTCCAAGGAGTAAGCGTCTTTTAATTTCATGGTTGAAGTCACCATCTGCAGTGATTTTGGAGCCCCAAAAAATAAAGTCAGCCACTGTTTCCCCATCTAATTGCCATGAAGTGATGAGACTGGATGCCATGATCTTAGTTTTCTGAATGTTGAGCTTTAAGCCAACTTTTTCACTTTCCTTTTTCACGTTCATCAAGAGGTTCTTTAGTTCTTCTTCACTTTCTGCCATAGGGTGGTGTCATCTGCATATCTGAGGTTATTGATATCAGTGTTACATTCACCAAATAATTCTAAACAAAGAAATATAATTTGAGATAACTTTTGTTCCAAAAATCACAGGTTTTTTCTTCTCATTTTTAATGATCTCAGCTTTTGAATTTATCACCTGGCTTCTCTATGTTTTTGTTTGGCCATCCTACTCTCACTTGAAATCAACATTTTTAAAACTAAATTAAATTTTCTCCCTAACCAAACTACATTTATTGGCATCCCAATTTCTGTCTATTTTTCATTCAAGTCCCAAACTTTGGAATTTTTTTCAGCCCATCTCTAGCTACTCATTGCCTCTTTAACGTCTTTCCATCCAGTGCATGTCTTTGTCAACACGACTTGACGTTTTCTCCACATGGAATTCTTCTTTGGGGCTCACTCACTTCTGGTTGTTAGGCCTCCCTTGTTATAAGAAGTTTCCAAAATAATTTATTGACTCATGTCATTTCCTTGCCCAAAAGCTAATTCTATGGATTGTTGGAAAAAGGGCTATTCCAGGTCTACATGCTAAGTTGCTTCAGTCATGTCTGACTCTTTGCGACCCCATGATCTATAACCCACCAGGTTCTTCTGTCCATGGGATTCTCCAGGCAAGAATACTGGAGTGGATAGCCATTCCCTTCTCCAGGGAATCTTCCAAACCCAGGGAAAAAATTCACATCTCCTGCATTGGCAGGTGTATTCTTTACCACTAGTGCTACCTACCAGATCTAGGAATACCTCGTGCCAGAAAGCAAGGATGGGCTCAAGAATGACAGGGATCGACTTAAAGGGCTGTTCCCACTGGTCATATTTGGGCCATTTGTGCACCTAAAATAATAACAATTATGAGTTATAACACCATGAATTAGAAAATCCATGAGTCCACAATAAAGCAGAAAGAGAGAGGCAGAGAAGAGAAACAAGAAATAGAAGTTCTTCTGTGCAGAAAAATGATAACTTACAAGTGTATGAAAAATGATAGAGTTAGAAAGCAGCATTGGGTTTCCCTGGTGGCTCAGATGATAAAAAAACTGTCTGCAATGCGGGAGACCTCAGTTTGATTCCTGGGTTGGGAAGGTCCCCCGGAGGAGGGCATGGCAACCCACTCCAGGATCCTTGCCTGGAAAATCCCCATGGACAGAGAAGCCTGGCGGGCTATAGTCCATGGGGTCACAAAGAGTCAGACACAACTGGGTGACGAAGCACAGCACATAATACAACCACTGATTATGATAATTGGCCATCAATGAGTATGAGGGTCAGTAGATGCCAAATCCATCCATTGAAATGTTTTTTGGGAACAAGATATGACAGTATCTAAGTACTAGCTTGCAAATTACTTCCTAATTGCAAAGTAGAAAATATCCATTTATAGATCCAAAGGACACCACTTTAACCAAGAGATCAAATTTAGCATCATCAGTAGCAGTGACAGGCCCATAATGGACACATACAGATCAAGTGTTCTTGCCAAAATGTGTCATCCAAGTCCAGTTGTGAGGAAACAATAAAAAAAAACCCTAAATGTGAGACTTTGTACAAGAAAACTGGCTGGGACTCTTAAAAAATAGTTGAATATCTTGAAAGAAAAAAAGTCAGTATGAATAGTATAGATTAAAGGAAATTAAAGAGATGTAACCTCGTGCATAAACCTTCATTGGCTCCTGTACAAAAAAGTGAAAACCAATTGCAGAGTAATAGAATATAATTATTCTTGGAAGATAAGTACTGGTGTTTAGGGATGAGATATCCCAATACCTGCAACCTATTTTCAAATGGTTAAGCAACAAAAATGTAATAAATGTATATTTAGATAAATAAATTGATGTGTGTATAGATGTACATATACCTACAGAGAAGGAGGGAGGAGGAGCAAGCACAAAATGGTAGATGTCACAGGAGGTGAGTCTAAGTAAAGGGTAGGATACTTTCACCTTCTGTGTAAAGTTGAAAAATTTTTAATGAAAAGTTGTGGGAGGAGAGAAGCCACTCGCCCAGAAGGATGAAGTCTGATCTCCTTGACCCAGCATCCAAGGACATCTTTTGCCTGGATCTTCTGAGCTGCATTCACTTTATAAGCTGGGTCATGTCCCGTCGACCCTGTTTTCCCAGTATCGGCACGATGCCCGTTTGGTCTTCACAAACTTCTCCCCTCTGCTCCTCTGCTGGAGTCCCTTCTTAATCTTTTTACTGGAGTGTAATTGCTTTACAAAGTTGTGTTGGCTTCTGCTACACAATGAAGTGAATCAGCTGTGCATGTGTGCATATGTCCCCTCCCCGGATATATCGAGGCTCCCTCAGCACCCCACCCCACTCTCTAGGTCATCACAGAGTACCAAGCTGAGCTCCCTGTCCTTTATAGCATGTTCCCACTAGCTATCTATTTAATACGGGGAGTATTACCCAGCCATAAAAGGGAACAAAATTAGGTCATTTGTAGAGATGTGGAATTCCCTTTTAGAGCAGACCAATCTACTTAATCTCACAACTTAGCTTGTATAGATCTATCAGTGAACATTGCTCATTCTTTCTACTCAAACGAAAACACTTTGCTCCCCATCAATCCATTCTCACTTGAGTATAAATATGACCATATAGGCTAGCACCTGCTATTTCCCTACATATTCCTATATGTGAAGATATTCAATTATGATCTTAAGAGAAATACAAGGATCTTAACTTTTGATTCTTAGAGAATCCACTCTACCTAGGAAATAACGTCTTCAATAGAGGAGTATAGATTGATTGATACACATCCCTTCATTGTATTCATGTATGAGTTGATCATTATTTTGATATCAAACTTCCAGAAAAAAAAGGAAGAAATTCAGTAAATTAACTAATTTTCTCTGTGACATGCCAAGGAAAAAAATCATTTAAAAACTTATTTTTCAGATCAAGTGGGTTTGGATTAAATGTTTCTATTTTTCTGTGAACACTGGTATTGCACAGACTGCAATAGGCTTAGATGAGTAGGGGAAGGTTACCTACCTGACCATTTGCTTACAGTATCCTCTTATCTCATTCTATGGCACTAACCTCCTTCTATGTTTAATTTAGACACTGCTGTCGATGATCTTTTCTGCTCTCGGAATTGCTTTCTCTGGATACTGCCTGGTCATATCTGCTCTGGGCCTTCTTCAAGGCCCATATTGCCGTACTCCTGATGGCTGGGAGTATGCCTTTGAAGGCACTGCAGGACGGTAAGGAATAATTCCCTGATTTGGGAGGATATCTGAAAGTCAGAAACACCTGACTTCATGCTCATACTCACTTTCCGTGATCCCTCTGTGGTTCTGTGTGTCTACCTTAGTCCAAAATTTTCTTAACAGCTTACTAATATTCTGACCAATTTGTTCCTACATAGATCATTGTTTATATATCTATTTTTTCCTCCAGTCTTTTAATGCCACATGCATGACAGCATGTTGAGGCTATCATGAGCATTTCCAGATCAAAGACATGTTTCTGCTCTACTGAAGAACAGCTTTGTGGTTACTGTGGTCTGGCAATTGCTGGAGATTTGGGGATCCAAGTTGCTCTGAGCAGTCAGTCTTATTTTGTGACCAAGGCATGCGGGAATGTAGACTCTTGCAGAGCCTTTGTACAACAGCTTGGCTGGGAGAGCGTCACGGTGCCCTCGAACGGTGCCATCGGGGCTATTCCATCAGGAGCCACACAGAGACAGAACCAGGCAGGATGGGCAGCGAAGTGCGGTCTGAGATCCAAGGACACAGTAGGTGCAGGAGTTTGTGGAAGCAGCCAGGAGCTTCCTGAGTGTGTCCTCAAGAAGAGTCCGAGGGGGGGTCTTGCTCTGAAGGCTGGGAACTCAGTCAGGCACGGAGGGACCCAAGCCTGGATTACAGAATGCCTCACACTGGCATTGCACTGGACTCACAGGCCCTTCAGCTTGAAGAAGGGCCCAGACAGAGATATAGGAGAGATCCACTGAGTCTCTCCCTGTCTCATTCTGTGCTCAGAATTCTAACGGAATAAATGAGGGAGGGTCTGTACCTTTCCTTTCTTCTCAGTTCCCCATGACTGGCTCTATCATTCAGTCTCACCCATGGGACTGCCCTGGTGCTCCAGTGATTAAGAATCCACCTTCCAAGGCAGGAAGAGCCTTCCAATGGCAAGAGCTAAAGAGCCTCATGATGAAAGTGAAAGAGGAGAGTGGAAAAAACTGGCTTAAAACTTAACAAAGGCAGGAGGAGAAGGGGATGACAGAGGATGAGATGGTTGGATGGCATCACTGACTCAATGGACATGAGTTTGAACAAGCTCCAGGAGTTGGTGATGAACAGGGAAGCCTGGCGTGCTGCAGTCCATGGGGTCTCAAAGAGTCGGCCATGACTGAGTGACTGAACTGAACTTTCAATGCAGGGGACATAGGTTGGATACCTGATCTAGGAACTAAGATCCCACACGGGTACATGCTGAGTCGTGTCCGATTCTTTGTAATCTCATGGACTGTAGCCCACCAGGCTCCTCTGTCCATGAGATTCTCCAGACGAGAATACTGGAGTGTGTTGCCATGCCCTTCTCCAGGAGATCTTCCTGACCCCGGGATCAAACCCAAGTTTCTTGCATCTCCTGCATTGGCAGGTAGATTAGTTACCACTGAGCCACCTGGGAAGCCCAGGATCCCACATGCCCTGGGGCGACTAACTGACCCACTACTGAGTTAATGCAGCCAAAAGTAAAAGTAGAAACGCAAACATTTGAGAAAGGGAAACAAAGCTCACATGCATTTCAGGTCTTACATAGTTACCTCATCCTGCTGGAGAGCACAGTTGCCTCTGTGCCCACAGTTGCTTTTATTCCAAAGCTTCCACAAGGTGCCACATGCTGTGAGCAGAACTCTCCTTCAGGTCTGAGAACCTAGAAAATTATTTCAGGTTTCTTCTGAACACCTGGAGGAGACACTCCTTTGGGACTGAAGGGGCTCGGGAAACCGGGCCTTAATGTAGAAAGTCCCAATGGGTAAAAGGAGTCATTTTTTATAAGCCGTCAAACCCTTAAAATTTTCCCACCACCAAACCAAATAAAGCTCCATTTTCAATGTGAAAGTTGCCCAAATCAGTTTTTTTTTAATATTTATTTTATGTATTTTTTGGTTGTGCCAGGCCTTAGTTGCCCCTTGCAGGATCTTTGATCTTCGTCGTGGCATGTGGCATCACAACTGGGGCCCCTGCATCGGGAGCTCAGAGTCTTAGTCACAGGACCACCAGGGAAGTCCCCCATCCCCAGACTGGCTATTCGTATGTATATTTATTCAACAAATATTTATTAAGCACCTACTATGTCCGGGCCTTGGATTAGGTGCTAGAGAATCAAAAATAAATCACACAGGTTCACTTCCCTCTAGAAATTCACACAAACCTAAGAGAACATTCTGCTGAGATGACAGCCTTAGAACGTACATTTCCCTTGGAGCACAGGGCTTGTGAATCTGGGTTCAAGTCTCCCCATCTCCTACTTACAAACTGTATGGCCTTAGACAAATGTCTGGATATCTCTGAGACTCTGTAAACTGGAGGTATTTCACATAACTGAAAATTAAACAGAAGTGAACTTTCAGATGTTCAAACTGGTTTTAGAAAAGGCAGAGAAACCGGAGATCAAATTGCCAACATCTGCTGGATCATCGAAAAAGAAAGAGAGTTCCAGAAAAACATCTATTTCTGCTTTATTGACTATGCCAGGGCCTTTGACTGTGTGGATCACAATAAACTATGGAAAATGCTGAAAGAGATGGGAATACCAGACCACCTGACCTGCCTCTTGAGAAACCTGTATGCAGGTCAGGAAGCAAAAGTTAGAACTGGACATGGAACAACAGACTGGTTCCAAATAGGAAAAGGAGTACATCAAGGCTGTATATTGTCACCCTGCTTATTTAACTTATATGCAGAGTACATCATGGGAAACGCTGGGCTGGAAGTAGCACAAGCTGCAATCAAGATTGCCAGGAGAAATATCAATAACCTCAGATATGCAGATGACACCACCCTTATGGCAGAAAGTGAAGAACTAATGAGCCTCTTAATGAAAGTGAAAGAGGAGAGTGAAAAAGTGGGCCTAAAGCTTAAGATTCAGAAAACTAAGATCATGGCATCTGGTCCCATCACCTCATGGGAAATAGATGGGGAGACAGTGGAAACAGTGTCAGACTTTATTTTTGGGGGGCTCCAAAATCACTGTGGATGGTGACTGCAGCCATGAAATTAAAAGACACTTACTCCTTGGAAGCAAAGCTATGACCAACCTAGATAGCATATTAAAAAGCAGAGACATTACTTTGCCAACAAAGGTCCATTTAGTCAAGGTTATAGTTTTTCCAGTGGTAATGTATGGATGTGAGAATTGGACTGTGAAGAAAGCTGAGCGCCAAAGAATTGATGCTTTTGAACTGTGGTGTTGGAGAAGACTCTTGAGAGTCCCTTGGACTGCAAGGAGATCCAACCAGTCCATCCTAAAGGAGACCAGTCCTGGGTGTTCATTGGAAGGACTGATGCTGAAGCTGAAACTCCAATACTTTGGCCACCTGATGCAAAGAGCTGACTCATCGGAAAAGACCCTGATGCTGGGAAAGACTGAGGGCAGGAGGAGAAGGGGACGACAGAGGATGAGATGGCTGGATGGCATCACCGACTCGATGGGCATGAGTTTGAGTAAACTCTGGGAGTTGCTGATCGACAGGGAGGCCTGGCATGCTGTGATTCATGGGGTCGCAAAGAGTCAGACACAACTGAGCGACTGAACTGAACTGAAAGCACAAATTGAATGTAATAATCTGTCAACATGCCAAGTTTTATTACTAAAATCATGGCTTTGCATAACCGTCTTTACCATGTAATGTCTTCCATCTGCTAAGTGGTGGGCAGGTTCAGCCTTTGGTTCAGCCACTGGCATCCTGACCAGTGAGGATCCTGAATCAGTCCCATTCAACAAGCATTTGTTGATCTTTGCAATGTGCCAGGCACTGCCTTAGGCCTTAGATGTGCCTGTTCAGAGATGGATAAATCACTGCAGTGTTCTCACAGTACACTATTTAGTGAAGAACTAGATACACAGATATAGCTGTGGATATATTTATAACATAATGAAGTAAATGCTGTGTTAAACTGTGTATAGAAATTGTGGAAAGAATGAAGATCAGGGCGAACTTCTCTGTTGCTTCCCAGATCCTGCCAGTGTACTATTCCTGCTTAGTGCCTCATTCTATTTATACAAGGAAAATAAATAGAACCATCTCCTAGGATAAAAACAGAAATCTTGCAAGTCATCTTCCTTTAAGGTGTTGGATGATCTGTGCAAATGATAGACTGGGAACAGTCTAGAGAAAGGATCTTGAAGTGATTATCTTTCCTGGTACCTGAGACTGAACTAGGGTTAGGAGGGTGTGTGAAGTGGCTCTTGGGACATGATCACAAGAAATTACATCTGCATCATGCTTTATAGATTCCAAAGCATTTGTACATTCCTCTCATCAAATATTCACAATAACCCTAGGGTTAGATATTTTACAAGCATTGTCCAGATCAAAGAGGTAAAGTCCCTAGCCCTAGATCCTACAGATTCAGGAGTTCTGAGTCCATATTCAGTACTGTTTACCACTTGAGACATCCATTAGCAACATCAAGAAATTTTCAAGATTGCCTCCGAATGTCCCAGAACATTGAGAAAAGGAAACAAAGAAAGGGAAGGAGAGTTATGTGCCACTTGGCTGGCACCAAGTTTGCCTGAATGGCTGCTTTGGGAAAAATCATCTTGTTATTAACAAGATATTTACAAACAACTCTGGCCTGAAATTGGACTTGATTGTTTTTCTTTGGAGGATTTTTTTTTTTTTTTTTACTTTTTTGAGGCAATCAGTATTTATTTCAATTTAGTTCAACAAAGCGTGTCACATTTGGAGAAATGCTAATGGCCATAACTGACCTGGAAGTGGGCAAAAGTCAGTCAGGATAATTCAGCGTGGTTTTAAGATTATCTTAAAGTGAAGGTGGTTTAATCCTCAGAATCCTGTGCTTAGCTAGACGAATCAAACTGTTGGGTCTTATGCATTTTCCCTTCATAATCTGAATCTTCTTAAAAGCTGCAGAACATACAGTGGACCCTGGGCCAGCAGCATCACCTGAGAACTTAGAAACACAAAGTCTGCAGTCCCATCCAGACCTTCTGAATCTGAAGTTATGGGCTGGGGCCCAGGAGTCCGCATTTTCACAAGCCTTCCAGATTAACGATGTATGCTCAAATTCACTCGTTTCCAGTGGCTCAGCAAAAACCTGCCTGTAATGCAGGAGACACAAGAGACTCGGGTTCAGTCCCTGGGTTGGAAAGATCCCCTGGAGAAGGAAATGGCATCCACTCCAGCATTCTTGCCTGGGAAATCCCATGGACAGAGGAGCCTGGCAGGATACAGTCCCTGGGGTCGTAAAGAGTCGGACACAACAGAGCACGCAGGCATGCATGCTCAAATTTTAGAACCACTGTTACAAAGGACTTTGGGACAGAGTATAGGAATAACTAGCATCCTTTCTCTTTGCTGTTTTACCACCTGTTATTTTATATCCACTGCTAGCTCAGCCCTGTTCGCCCGAGCTAACTTTGGGGTCCTAGGAAATGGTCAGTCTCTGCCTCTCTTGGTGTTGACATGTGCAGCTTCTCATTGCCGCTGAATTCTTCAGTATGCATCTTGCCTCCTAAGTGAATTAAAATTGTCTGAGGCATGATCACCATAAACATAGTCCAGTGCTGTGCATACCCCATGTTCAATATTTATATTTGATAATTTGACAGATTAATTAATGTTGAATAACATTATGTTTTTAATCATACATATTAATTTCCCAAACATAAAACAACTTGCAGCCTTCTTCCTTGGACCAAGTCTTTAGGCTTGGCCATGCATCATTTGACAAACACCTTCTTCTCTCAGTTTCCTTACAGATTCCAGAGAATGGGTTCAGTGCCTGGAACCCGCGCATGTAGTGGAGTGGAACATCATCTTATTCTCTATTCTCATAGCTCTCAGCGGGCTTCAAGTGGTTGTCTGCCTCATCAGAGTGGCCATCCAGCTGTCCCAGGCCCTCTGTGGGACCTATTCAGTCATTATCCAGGTAACAGACCCCCACTGGCATCTGTGCCTCCTCCTTTCCCTCCGCGGTCCAGGAGTCAATGTGTCTTGCTGAAAGACTTTTTGGAATTGCATCATTTTCCTTCCATTCCTACTGCCCTCATCTTTACTCAGCCTCTAATATCTCAGTTTTTTCTTATATTCCAGTATGTCTGTTAGCTTGTCTAAATGGACTGAACCAAAGGAATAATTGTAAAATCATCTTCTGTGTTCCATGGTGAAAACAACACGTGTTTTGAATGAGCAACATTTCTATGTAGAAATAACTCAAAGCTCAAAGAAATCTGGCCATTCATTGAGAATGTCCCTGTTCATACAATTGTTGAAGGCTCACAACCTAATCCCAGTGAAGTAACTTCTCTTTTGAATGCTGCTACATTCAGCTATTCATAATAATCTTTCTTTATTATGGAGTTATTAGTGGTTTTGAAGAAGGGAAATATGTCTTTATCCTGTTGAAATGACAGTACTTCTGTTTCATCTGCTAAAATACTAATGTTAATTTAATTATGGTTGAAACTGCTAAAACTATTCAGCAAGTTCAGACTAAAGAGAAATCAAGAATGAGACATCCTGCATCTTGTTTAACAACATATAATAGTTAATACCTTTTCTAGTAGTTTCAAATAGATATTTTCTAGTTCTAACACGTTTCGAATGTAAACTATAAATTTAAGTTGCTTCTTGGATTATGGATCATTAATCAAGTCAAGTTTACTCACTTTGTTTTTCTTCATTTTTTATAGCCTGGAATCATTTGACAAGGACAAGAATGTTTTTCTTTATCAAGATATGGCCATCCGCCTGTGTCTCCTGGATGGACTGGAGGGTCACATTCAGATGAAGGTTTCTCCCTCCGGATGGTGTTTGCTGTCCCCACTGCAATGCTGTCCTTTTAGAAATGTTTCCAAAGCTATGTGTGTCGGGGTCTTCAAAAATGTTCATATCTTTTTGATCAAATAAAATGAAATAAATCCAACTTCAATAAACTTCACTCTGAAAATAAGAATACAAGATAAAACTTAATGCAAACACATATATTTGAACATCACTTAATATTCTGGAAAATTAGAAATACCCAGAAAATCGAACTTTATGGAAAAGATTAAATAAAGCATGGTACATTCTTTGTAATATGATATAAAATGATGTTTTAAAGATAATGAGTACTGGGGCCTTCCCTGGTGGTCCAGTGGTTAAGACTCCAAGCTCCCAGTGCAGGGGGCAAGGGTTGGATGCCTGGTCAGAGAACTAGGATCCCACGCACTGCATAGGGCAGCCAATAAATAAATAAATAAATAAAGATTATGAGATGTACTAGTGAAAAAGCAGGTCACAAATTTATATTTGCAGTATAAGCATAGTTATCTAAAACAAACAAATCCAAACAATCAAAATATAGGTTAAAAACTAAATCTAGATGGATTTACACAGAAGTGTCAGCTATGGTTGATTTGGGTCACAGATGACCCTTCCTACTTTTCTATATATTCCATGTTTTCTTTATTACTTTTTACTATTCAAATACTTTTTAAAAAACATATTTTTACTGTAAAAATTTTGCTATTTTTCCAAACTTTAAAGGAATATGCTTTTTCCAAATGTTTTCCAACCCTGACTATCTGTAAACATCACAGAATAACACTTCAGTCAATGTTCAGTGGGGAAAGTGGTGAGATAGATTAGCCAAAAAAAAAGTTGTATATAAACTTATACAATCTAACTGAGCCCTTGGCCTTATTTTCTCAGTCCTGGTGGTGACTACGGTGGCCTACAAGAGGCTGACTTGAAATGAATGAGCAGTTGAGGACACGCTTGGTGGTTTAGAGAAAGTGACCACTGACTAGTTGATACCTGTGTCATGGGAAGTTACCACTACTGTATTTATTTTTTTTTAAGTTTTTTAAAAGGTAAAACACTTATGAGCTTTCTACCTATACTTGGTGTAACTTCCTGGAGGACAGCAGTCATGTCTTATATTTTCCCATCATCCATAGGGCCTAGCACAAAGTGGGCATAGGAGATACTTGACGCTGGACAGTCATGCCAGGCTCTTCTGCTCTCTGGGGCTGCTCCACGGAGTATCTGTCTCCATTATGGGCCCACTGGGCCTTAGCGCTTCTGTCACTTCCCCACCGCCTTTCCCCCCTGACACCGTCAATGCTCTACCAACACCTGCTGTAAGCCAAAGCTGGGCAATAGTAACCAGCGGTCTGGAGAACACCTCTTTCCTTGGTGCCTGTTGGACCTATTGTTCGTTGTTCAGTCACCCAGTCATGTCTGACTCTTTGAGACACCATGGAAATAGCTATAGCTCAACCTATAGCCTCTTTTAAAGAAGCTGCCCTTTCCACAGCCTTTGCTGAAGCTAGTGAGTATCCTAAAGCAAGCCATGTTGGATACCACATGCTCCCCGTGCCTGGGACCTAACTAACAGAGCTGGGAGCAGCACCCAAGTCATAGGCAACCTATTGTTACTCCAGCAGCAGGTGATTTAGACTAAAGGCAAACACTGTCCAAATGAGATTGGTGGTTATTCTTCCTTGAAAATTTGAATTGCAAAACCAAAAATGAAGCAATGCAGGCAATGCCATCAGGAAAATAATTAAAGATGAGGAAGAAAGTCAACATCAGAGAGTTTCTCTGATTACTTTATCATGTCCATAAGCTCTCCATGCCCAGCAGTCTTGTTTTTCAGGCCTGTGGAAGCCTCCTCTTGTAAGTGAGCTTCTAGCAGGTCAGCACCCCGGGTTTTGTCAGCAAGACTCAGTCGTGTTTAGATTCAGTATGGTACCACACATTGAGTGGGCCGTGAATCAATGTCAGCTGAACGGCTTCCCAATATTCCCAATTGGGAATATTCTCTAACAACAAGAAAGAAGAAAGGAAGTAGAAAGTGTTTGTCGCTCAGTCGTGTCCAACCCTTTGTGACCCATGGACTGTAGCCCGCCAGGCTCCTCTGTCCATGGGATTTTCCAGGCAAGAACACTGGAGTGGGTTGTCATTTCCTTCTCCAGGAGATCTTCCCAACCCAGGGATCAAACCCATGTCTCCTGTGTCTCCTGCATTGGAGGCAGATTCTTTACCCACTGAGCGATCAGGTAAGCCACAAGAAGGGCACAGTCAAATTCAGTACAGTATATCTATCAGTAAATCAAATATTAACCAGCCATCCAATTTTTTTTATATATATGTTTAAAGAGTATATGCTAGAAATTCCCTAGTGGTCCAGTGACTAAGACTCCACAGTTTCACTGCCTAGCCCAAGTTCAATCCCTGGTCAGAGAACTAAGATCCCACAAGCCAGGCAGTGTGGCCAAAAAAGAGTATATGCTGATGCTGCAATTTTAAGTAAAACATCTGTATACAAATTTTTCTATGCAGTTTGAACCCAAATTTTCAAATCACCATGAAACTACATGTGGACATGTACAAACATTCAGACACATAGAAAAAATACCTAAAAGTTAATAATTAATAATTATCACCTAATGACGAGACCATGGGTTGTGTTTCTTTTCTTTATATTGCTCTATGTTTCCACATTTTCCTTTGAAAATGCATTACTTGAAGAATTAGAAAAAATAAATGTCATTTTTAAAAACTTATCCTCTAATCCTTTCTGAAAAATCCATTTGAGGACCTTAAAATCGGAAAGAACTGGACATGAAACTGTGTATGATAACCTTTTCCTTACACTTTTAAGAAGGGACCTATTTCATTTTTTAAGTCTCAGAGAGGTTGAGTATCGCAAATTAATCCTAACGGAGAATGATTTCTATTTTGTCCATTTATGCTCTTATATTTATTATCTCTCTCTCATTTTCCTTGCTTCTTTCTCATTGTACTTTCTCTGACTTAAATTGAAAGCCTAGTTTATTAATTTTTAATTTTTCTTCTTTTTTTAAGCATGTAAGTGGTCCCAGGACTTCCCTGATGATCCAGTGGTTAGGAATTCACCTGCCAAAGCAGAGGAAATGGATTCAATCCCTGGTCCAGGAAGATTCTGTGAGGCAGCTAAGCCCACGCGCCGCAACTATTGAGCCTGTGTGCTACGGCTGCTGCAGCCCGTGCCCTGGAGCCCGTGGTCTGCGACGGGAGGCTCCTGCAGTGAAAGCCTGCGCACTGCAGCTGGGGAGGAAGCTCTACCCGCCGCAACCAGAGAAAGCCTGTGCGCAGTGACAGAGGCCCAGCGCAGCCAGAAATCAGTTAAAGAAAAAAGACTAGAGTGGTCTCCTCTTATCTGCAGGAGATACACTCCAAGGCTCCCACTGGATGCCTGACACCATGGGTAATACTGAACCCTATACATCCTACCTTCTTTTCCTACACCTATAAACCTATGATAGTTTAATTTACAAATTACATATAGTAAAAAAAAAGCAGCAATATCTAATAATAAAGTAGAACAATTATAACAACATATTGTAATAAAGTTTGTGAATGTGATCTCTCTCAAAATATCTTACTGTACTGTGCTTACCTTTCTGCTGCTGCTGCTTATATGAGAAAATAAAATGACCATGTGATGTGATAAGGTGAATGATGAAGGGATTGTGACATAGAGTTAGGCTACTATTGATCTTCTGCAGGAGGATCATCTGTTTCCAGTTATCTGGATCATTGAGCCATGATATCAATAATGATTAGATGCGGGGAGTGGATGATGTCAATGGTTGGGGATCTCGAGCAGGACGGAGTAGGACCACATAAGATTTCATCTCACTGCTCAGAAGGCATGCAATTTAAAGCGTATTTAATTACATTTTTGAATTTTCCATTTAATATTTTCATACCTCAGTTGAAAATGCAGAAGGTGAAACCATGGGCAAGGGTGGGACTAGTTTATTCATTTTTATTTAAGTACTACTTTGGCTGCATCTCACAAGCTTTGAAATGTTGTCTTTAACTTGTTACTAAGTTATAAATATTTTCTAATTTTCTTTGTAATTTCTTTCTCAAGCTATGAATGTGCTTTAAAATTCCCCAATATATGAGTTTTTGTTATTTTTTGAGATTTCCACTTTATATGTATTTTGATCATAGAATGTGGCATATATGATTCTGATACTATGAACATTTTAAGGTTTGTTTTCTGGCTGAAATTTATAAGTGTTCTATGTACTTAAATATTTTGTCTTCTTCAAATACTGTGTATCCATCAGGTAAGCTGCTAACTTTGTTGTTCATATCTTCATGTCTTTCCTTTTGTTTGCTTGATCTAGAGTTTCTATGAGGTATCAAATACTGGGTGTCCATCAGGTAAGCTGCTAATTTCGTTGTTCATATCTTCAATATCTTTCCTTTTGTTTGCTTGATCTAGAGTTTCTATGAGGATTAAATGAGCATATATATGTGTGTGTGTGTGTCTGTGTGTAGTAACTTTATCTATTATATATGTATATTTATATTATATAACATATAAGATGTATTTATATACAAAATTATATCACAGATATATATATATAAAATGGGGTCTGACACATGGATGAGATTTATAAGTGGCCTAAACATCATGGATTAAAGATGTACTCTGGAGTCAGATTGCTCAGATTCAAATCTGGGCTCTGCCTTATTTGCTGGGTGACCCTGGTCAAGTTTACTTAACCTCTCTGTGCGTCAGGTTCTGAATCTGTAAAACAAGAATAATAATAATAGAGAGTTGCAAAGACTGAGTTAGTACATATAAAACTCTTAGAACCATGGTGACTTAACCCTGAATCCAAGTGCAGTCAGAGAAGATTTGAAAGGGTTGGACTTG